GCGCTCCCCATCCCCGTCGTGCAGTTCGCATTTTTATGGCTTGCTTTCTTGTAGTGCGAATCCTTCGTGTTGTTCGTCTGTCTCGATCGTCGTTCGAGGGGGATGGGGCTGCCACCTTTAGTTTAACGGCTCGTACCTCGCGCACTTCCAGTATATGCAAATTCTCTCGTACCTCCAGGACAAAGAGTCGGCCGATCCGCACGTGTTCCGCCTCCCCGAAAGCGTTGTAGAAACTCTCGGAGACCCTGCGTGCTCATCGACTGTCTTCCAGGAGCCGTTCGGCCCAAGGGTTCGTGTCGTGTCGTAGTTCGTCTCCCATCTCTCGCCCCCCCGTGCTCTCGAATTCGGGCTTCCCGGACAGCGCAACGATGAGTTGACGATGGTTGCCTGGGAATCGGAGGATGCTTTTGAACCAGCCCAGACGTCGTACCAGTGCAAGCTCCGCTGGCGGCTGTATTTGCCAATGGCGGAACGCCTCCAGCGTGCTCAGGGATCGCGCGCTGCCGTCCTCTCGCCTGGTAGTGGCTCGGCCCCGCTTAGCACTTCTCAGTAGTGCCCCCATCGCGTGTTGGAGCTGCGTGTGCTCGCTGGGCGTCGGCAGATAGCACTCGATGCAATATGGCCCCGTGTTGGTTACACTGCATATCAGTACTGCTCGTTTCCACCTGTATGGGATGTTGGCTTTGCTCCAGAAGGCCCCGCATTCATAGTAGCTCTCCTTCATGGTCCTGATGCGTTGTGTATGTTCTGCGGCATATGCCTGCGGCGCGCTGATCTGCGGTCCCGAGTAGCGCGCCGTTGATCGTGTCCGTCCTGGCAGCCTGCATCTCGGGCCGTGCTTGAGTTGGTGGTGCGCCCGCTGCTTGCCCTGTCCCTGGAGGTAGACGGTGTTATCCTGTTTGTCCTGGTTCTGGCGCGTCCCGATGCCCTGCAGTCGTTCGTTAAGGTCCTCGTCCACTTGGCGTGCTCGTCGTGCCAATCGCGGTGCGTCTGCGTGTGTTCCGCCTGGGGTGGTCTTTCGGAGGTCGTCGGCGTGCTTGGCGAGGCCCGCGTATATAAATTGTTGGAATAGTTCGCTGCGTCCGTAGAGCTCGCGGTCATGGTCCAGGAGATCGTTGCAATCGCTAACCCATCGTTGGATGCACGGCGCGAAGCTGGCCGCAAAGTTGGGCGCCGTGCACGGGCCGCCAATTAGTCTTCCACAGCGTGGTTTGATACATGCTCCCGTCGGTCTGTCCCGGCGTGGTATGTGGAAAGTCGCGCGTCTGTAGCGCTGCTCTCCCAAGTCCCAAGCGTTCCCTGGCATGATCTTGCTGTTGACGGCGCCCATCGTGATCCACGGGCAGCTCGCGAAAGCGCCCGACATATCCTTCAGTGTCGTGATGGAGCCGCGGCCTGCTTTACGTGCTCGGTGCTCCACTACTGCCGCGGTCAGCATTGCTCCCTCTCGACGCCGTCCTCTGATGAAGCCATAGTCCTGGTCTGTGTGGGCTCTTGAATGTTGTCGTCGCGTGCTGGCTGGGTAGTGTGCCTTGCCGATCGGGTCCATGATGTGGTAGATTCCCTTGCCTGGTGGTCCTGGTTTGTTGTTCTTTGACTGCTGCTGCCGTGGTCTGGTGCCGGCGTACTGGGGCGGTGTTGCTGAGTCGTATCGCTGCAAGCGATGCTCGAAATAAGTCGTTGCAGTGGTCTGGCTTAGTCTGCGTGGTCGGCGCTCCCAGGCCTTGGTGTCGTTGTGGTGCTGGTGTGTACTCTCCCAGTAGTAGCTTCCATAAGTCAGAAGGCGCCGCCGCGGGTGGCGCTGCTCGTCGTAGTTTTGCTCTCTGAGGCTGTGCTTGATGTGCTCGATGTCCTGGTCGATTACCTCCTCTAAGTCGTTCTCGTCGTGAGCCTTGCGCCTCTGCGTGGGTTGGTGTCTGCTCCAGTGTGTAGTCGTCTTGCTCTGTTCCCTCCATTCCGCCCATTCCTCCTGGTAATTTCCAGAACTCCAACCGTTCTTCCCGTGTGGGTTGTTCTGTAATTGTAATCCAATGGTCGCGTTTCCGTGGTCCGTACCTGCCTCCCGCTATGGGTCTGGTCAACCTTGCCCCTCTCGCCAAGTCCCTACATTCCCACGCCTCGTGTAATTCTGCCACTCTGTCGTTCGTCAGCTTCTGGTACTCCACCTTTAGCATGGTCGCGCATTCCCTGGATACCTGGCGTAGTTGGCTCTCGATATCGCACAGTCTTCTTTCCATCGGGTCCGTCGGTGGGGCCCCCGTTAGCAACACTGTCCCTCGGTGAAGACCCAGTAGCAGCGCAATCCTCGGGTGAAGGTCCAGTAGCCGCGCCCTCCGTCTGCGTCGTCGTGGTGGTACTGCATGTCGTAGTCGGCGACCCAATAGTAACACAGTCCCAGTAGTAACACGTGCCCTCGGTGAAGATCCAGTAGTCGCACATGCCGTCGGTGTTGGTCCAGTAACGTGGGTAATTGGCACCTGGTTCGTCTAATATTCCTCGATGGGCCCTATGTGTAGTGCATCGCTCTCCCGTCAGAGTCGTTCCCGTCGTGCTCTGCGCTGTCTAAGTAGTTCCATTCGGCGTGCTCGTAGGTCCGCATATGCCGGTGTGGGTGGTGGCCGTTGTCCATATATGGGGTGTGCCGCCTCTACAATCATATCGCTGATGTCCGCGAACAGCTGGTCGATGCCGTTGTTAGCGGGGTCGTACGTCTCAGGTCTGGTCTCCAGCGGTTCTATGAACTCGTTGCGGTGTTGTCCATGTCGTGCTGCTTGAGCGAGTAGATCTTTGTCCCAGCTGACTGGCATCTGTCTTTGGACATGCTGTCTGCGTATCGTCGCTGTGATCGTTGCCGGTACTGGTACATGGTCACGGAGGTATATGCTTGGTATCGTTGCCTGGACTGGTACATGGTCACTGGTGCCCATACGGAGTAGGGGTCCTTGGCTGATTACGTTGCAATAGAGTTCCTGTCGCATCATGATAAAGTCGATGCAGCTCGCCGTGTGCGTGCCAGAGAACGTCGGGCGCCATGGTGAGGTGCTGCTCGTTACCAAGAGCTGGTGGCGCTCCGCGTATTGTCGAGCTCGTTGCCCTGCGCCTCCTGGTGATATTTCTTCGGTGCGGTATTCGCCCAGCGCCGTGCTCGGTGGTGTATGTCCTTTCGCCGTGGTGCCAATCCCGTCGTTCAGGTCGCCTGCTGTGAATATTACGCTTCCTGGTGGGCGCTGTTGTGCAATGGTATCCATCCATGTGTAAAGTCGTGCCACTGTCGCATCGTATTGTTTCTTCTCCTCCTTCGTACGCGGCTGGGGTGGGAAGTAGTACCCAGTGGTCGTCAGTCGTAGTGTGTGGTGCGCAATGTCGAGTGCGACGCCTCGTCCGCAGAGTTCTAGTGGTGGGGCATGCACAGCGAGTATGTCCGCTCCTCTTAGTCGTCCTTGTAGTGCCACCAGGATGCCAGTGCGGCGGTTGGTAAGCAATCCACTCTACCTCCCTGCATCGATGTACCTCGTGTGTTGTAGTCTCCGTTGTTCTGGTTGTTCTCCTCGCCGGAGTCGTTGGGTGCCAGTCAGGATCACGACGTCAAAATTATGAGTTTCCTCTATGATATCGTGGAGTCTATCCTCTCTGGCTGTCAGCGGATTGTAGAGCAGCAGCGCGAGGGTGGTCATCCATCTCTGCGCAAACATGCGGGCTTCCCCCCAGTCAATGCTGCCTCCACATCTCTTTGGAATGACGGTGCGTAAGTGTGTCGCTGCCCTGACAATCTCTTGGGCCACGATAGCAGCTAGGAGGAGGAGGAAAAGGAGGAGGAGGAGGAGGAGGAGGTACGAGGAGAAGAAGGAGGATGAGGAGGAGGGGGAGGAGGCGGAGAAGGAGGAGGGGCAGGAGAGGCGTGACGCTTATACCGACCTAAGGGCGACCACAAGAGGCGCTAGAGACAACGGCAAACTGGCACAACGCGAGAAACACCAATTTCCGGCCGTTCGCAATGATAGAAAGGAATGCTGCCAACGACATGATGGATGAAGGATTGCATCAACTATGCTATATCAGACGACAACGGCCGACCTACACCAGCTTTGGCGCAAAGACGGATGAACACACATCACAGAAACATCCTTCGTGTAGGCACCCTCACAGCCTACGCAACCAGCCCAGCAGAAAACACCACAACCATTGCTACAACACTGCTGAGGGTAAGTGAAGGAAGCGTCAGGGGCCATGGCACGCAACTCAACGCCGACCATGCCGAACTCGTTGTGCTGCTGGTATTCGGTGCGGCAACGAGAACTACCATGGAACATATTGCCAAACGCGGAACCGACCACATCAAGAGCCACTTCTAGGACCAGACCGCCGAGCTCGTCAACAACCAGCTTGCCCAGGGCACTATGATCAGTTCAGCAGGCGCCATGGGGCAATATATCAAAGCTTGTTGGTTCCGCAGGGGGCCTGGGTCGCCGTAAGATGAGCGGATGCCAGTCCCTTAATGCCCCCCTCTGCCTTTCTCTCTGCCTTCCCCTCTACAATCCACTTTCTTCTCCTCCTTCTCCCCCTGCTGCTCCTCCTCCTCCTCCTCCTTCTCCTCCTCCTCCCCCTCCTCTGCCCCTTTTCCTCCTCCTCCTCCTCCCACCCCTCGCCTTACTTCTCCGCCCCTCCTCCTCCCCCCCCCCCCCTCGTCAGCAATCCCAGTTCCCCCCAGCGACGACGGGGGCGACAACGACGAAGAGGACGACGGCCCGCCTCGTTGAGCTGTGCCGCCGCCTTGCTGGGCGACGAGGCCTGGCCACCGACGTGCGCTGCGGCGCTGCGCAAAGCCTGCTCGCGAGGATGATTGTGATGATGCGGATGATGGTAATGCTGGCGCTGATGACGATGACGACGACGATGGTGAGGATGAGGATGAGGATGACGATGATGCTGATGCTGCTGATGATGATGGTGATGCTGATGGTGGTGATGATGCTGCTGCTGCTGATGATGATGATGATGATGGTGATTCTGATGATGATGTTGTTGATGCTGATGATGATGCTGCTGGGGAAGAGGGTCAGGAGGATGATGATAAGGAGGAGGAACAGGATGAAGAGGGATGGCCAGCACGTGGCATGAAAGGGGTTCTCTCTTCAAGGCCGCCGCCACCGACGTGAGCCAGGCCCACCCCAAGGTCCCCCCCAAAGGGGTCCGAGAGGGTCCGGGGACCCCCCCCCGATCCGTCTGGGAATTCTACATTGGCCCCCCGCCCCGCTGTACCAAGGGGGCCCTGGCACACGGAGGAAGGGCTGCGAGGGGCGAGGAAGGGCGATGGACAGAACGGAGAGGACGACGCAAACGCGACATTCGTGTGGACGTGGAGAAAGACGTACCTGCGTCGAGGCTATCTGAAGTAATACCCATGCAGGACTGTCAATGGAATCCTACTGCGAGGGATGATGATGAAGAGGCGCAGTAGCAGGTGGAATGGCAGAGCGGAATGATGATGATGCTGCTGCTGCTGATGATGATGATGATGATGATGCAGCTATGATGATGATGATGATGATGATGATGATGATGATGATGATGATGATGACGATGACGATGATGATGATGATGATGATGATGATGATGATGATGATGATGATGATGATGATGGAGCTGGTGATGATGCAGATGCTGATGCTGATTACCGTGGTAATTGCTATGATGACGGTGATGATGATGATGATGATGATGATGATGATGATGATGATGATGATGATGATGATGATGATTCTGATGATGATGGCGATGATATGGACGAGAAGGGCCGTGAGAGTGAGGATGGAGAAGAAGACGGTTGAGGACGACAGACTCGGAAGAGGAGTAGAAGGCGGTCCAGGAGTGGGAGGAGGAGGAAGCGGAGGAGGAGGAGGAGGAGGAGGAGGAGGAGGAGGAGGAGGAGGAGGAGGAGGAGGAGGAGGAGGAGGAGGAGGAGGAGGAGAGGAGGAGGAGGAGGAGGAGGAGGAGGAGGAGGAGGAGGAGGAGGAGGAGGAGGAGGAGGAGGAGGAGGAGGGGGGGGATAATCCACGGTGGAGGTGGAGGCTCATGCTTGCTCTCGAATGTTCTAAGGCTTCTGGGGCGAGGATGAGGAAGGGTAATGAAGGGGGGAGGCGGGATGCAATCCATAGCAGAATTGGGGTTCAGGTGTTCTTGTGTTATAGCGGTGCCCGAGAAGCTGTAGTAACGCACCCAAGCCGTAGAGCGAAGGAAGAGGGATGTAAGGATAATAATCTGGAATGATGAGGAGGAAGAAGAGGAGGATGAGGAGGAGGCCACGCCACTGAGAAGGTCCCTGCTCTCGCCAAGCGAAGGATCGCGGGCGGCATGTCCACGCAAGGCCTCGTCGTCGGGGGCGGCCTGCTTCCCAATGCTGCAGTCGAAAGTGAAGCCGTTGCCCGGGTCGGCAAGGACGGCGTCGGCATTGCCGTCAAGGTCATCGTAGTTCTCGGAGGCCGGGCTAGCTGCATCAATTTCCATGAAGGCTTCCTGGGAATGTCAGAGTAGCAGTACCATCAGCTTCGATTTCAGCCTGCGCCAGCACCATAGCATGCTGGTCCATCATGTCAGCGAGGGGGTCAAACTCGTCCGTGCTGCAGACCTGCACCAAGAGTTCCGTATGCATGCCCATCATGTCCGCAAGAGAATAGTCGTCGCTCGGATCAGCTAAGACTGCCATCATCAACATGTTGACCTGTGCCATCAGCAAGCTGCCATGTCCAGAAAAGTCAGGAAAGGCTAGCCCGCCAGCGTCACCAGCATTGCCGCTGCCCTCACTCGCAAGCCCAGAAGAGAGTGGAGTAAGAGCACCAGCGAGACCCGCGTCAGCAGCAAGAGACGCAACACCCAGCTGTGTGCTCCGCCGGTGGACCACCACAAACTATGGACACGAGGCGTTGAGGCCGCCTATGGCAATAGTACCAAACACATCGAAACTTACATCGCTGTCATCGGCGAGCCCCCTTGATCCCCTAGGGTCGCTGTGCTCGCGTAAGCCAGGGTACCTGCCTAGCGGACCACTCGGCTCGGGCGCCACAGGAGGTGCTGGGGGCAGAAGAAGGGATGGCGCCGAGAGAGCGTTTCGTCGGCGACTTCATGCGGCGCATTGCCAGCTGGAACAGAGTCAACCAACAACGGCGTCACTTGATCCATTGACAAGAACCAAGGGTTCGCCATCTTCCGTGCCAACCAGTCCCAGACCGTGCGGTGCAGCAGCGACTGGGTCTTTAACGTGAGGTCGTGGAGCTGGATCATGTGAGCTGTCCGCTGGCCACGGCGCCGCCCTCGCAATGCCACTTGCTGTGTCCGCCGGCCCAACATTGTTAATTGGTAGTCGTACCCGTCGCCAGACATGCCATCGTCGTCTCGCTGAGCAGGAGGCGGAAGGTCGTCTGCGCCGTCGCCCATGCGTTCTGCCATCCCCTCTACGTCAGCTTCGGTGGGAGGAGGGGCTCTCGGCGCGCCGAGTTCGCGAGCCCTCCTGGGCGGAGAAGCTATCGGGGGGCGCGGGGGCGAGCCGCGCGAGGACGGTACTGAGCGCAATTCATTCGGGTCGGTGTCCAATCTTTTGATTTCACGGGGTGCTTCTCCAGGCGCAGCGCGAAGCCTGGGAACGAGCAAACCCGTCTGCGACGCGCCTCAGAACGCGCGCGCGGCGGGGGTCGACTGGCATTCTCGGTGGATCTGGAGCCCACTGTAACCGAGTAGCATGAACCAGTGCGTTCTGCCGCGCCCGCCGTATCCTAGGAGGGTCCATGTCAGGCAGCTCAGCGTCAAGATGACGACGTATTTGCTTGCGGGGTATAGCTGCTGCACACCAGGCTGACAGGCAACTTTCTTCCGCCGCCCGCCTGCGTCTGCCGTCGCCTCGTCTCCACGCATGTCCCACTGGTGGCGTGACTTGTTGATGGTGCAAGACCCCGCGCCAGTCCAACCACGTGGAAAAGTTGTCAACCTGCTCTGCGTCGTGCGTTGATGGGGGCCACGTGGTTGCCCACGTCGTGGCGCGGTCCATGAGCTCCCTCCGAGACCGCTCCGCTCTCCGAGTAGTCGTCTTCGTCTGAGTGTCCCGCAACTTTGAGGAGCTGCTCGGCCAGCGAGTTGAGGGGCCTCCGCCTCGGCGCCGTGGAATGCATCGCGAGGCTGCCGTCGTCTGACCTCGACTCTGCATCGGCGGGCGCGGCCGCGAGCGAGGCGGCCCAGTTATCGCTCGAGACCTCGATCGGCTGTTCGGGTCCAGGAGGATTGTCATCGGCTGCCGCAGTAGCAGTGAGAGGACGTTGAAGCCCAGGATGTGGAGTCCTCGACGACGTGGGCAGGGGCGCTCTCGACGGGTTGGGCAGACTCCTGATCTGCATGTGACTGCGTCTTGCAAGACATGCCCGGTAGTGGGGGTCCACTGCGCGTTGCCGCGGCCCAGGACGAACGTTGGTTGTCGCCTCCATGAGCCGTCTGCGCGGCTGGTCAGTGCGCGCCCAGGTCACCTTGCATAGATCCCAAGCGCGCAACCAGAACGAGAGAGAGAAAGAGAGAGAAAGAGAGAGTCTCGCACCGTCGTAGGCATTAACGATACCCTGGGACATGGCTGGATGAGGTGCAAGAAATTGGGGACAACCGCCGTGTATGGAGCACCCCGGTCGATCCAATCATCTCTGTCCTGCCAGGTTTCGTCCTCCGTCATAAAAGAACCATTGCTTCGCATGCCCTCGCATGTGATTGAGCTTGCGCCGCCTCAACAATCGCTCGCTCATCCAGCACAGCCAGTGGATGTTTGCCCATGGCTTTTGGGGTTGGCGGCGTGCTAGGGGACAGAGAAGCATCGCGATGCGCGCCTCCCTCTGCGAAAAAATGCCACCAGAACGACGCTGTTGGTCAGATGTGCGAGTTTTCAGGGCCTCCTTCTTGTTGGCGAGGCTGTCGGCAGAACTGGCAGTAAGATGAAGAGATAGACGCGAGACACTGCTCGGAGAAGAGCCGCGCACACAGAGGCATATCCTTAGCCGGTGATGGCCTGCGAGGGGCTGAGGCAAACGTCTCCTGGATAGTACAAGTTACACTCAAACACTCCACAGACGAGAACCGACCCATTTGGACTAAATTGGGTCGGTTTCTGCGGCGGCCGAATAACTCGACGAGAGCACTCAAGGAAAACCCGCTCTGCAAACATGAGATGTGTGCGTGGCGGTGGCGAGACACGGTTGGCCACTGCAAGCTCGTTCCGCATCTCATCCATGGAGGCGCGCATGTCGTCGATCAGCCTGGCGGGGTCGGTGGTCTTGTTGTCCAAAGTGCCAGCCCTTGAGGCGATGGTGTCAATCTGAGCTTGAAAGCGGCGCTCGATGGCGTCGATGCACGGCTTGATCGACTTCCCCACATCTGTCCTGCGTGAACCTGGGAATTTTTGAAGGGCGGCTTCCAATGCTTTGATCGCTGCGAATGGCAGGAGAGAGTAATATCACACTGTCAGAAGTTGCCTTCGCGTGGCCAGCCATGAGCTCGCCCACCTCGTTTTGAATTCGGAGAACTTGGCGGAAGGTCGCTCGTTGATGAGGCCGTGGATGGTGGGGCCCCGCCATTGTGGATCCGTGCCGTCGTCGCCGTCTTCGGATGCGGAGCCAATGTCCAGAGCTTGAGCGATCATCGCGTCTCAAGTGCTCTCCGTGACCAGACGAGCGAGCGACCAGACAATGACTACGGACGGACGGAGGAGGAAGACGAGGTGGAGGATTAAGTAAGGCGCACCTAGAAGCAGGAGAGGGCCAAACTTCCTCTGGCCTCCTCCTCCATCTCCTCCATCTCCTCCTCGTCCTCCTCCTCCTTCAACTCCTCCTCCTTCACCAACTCCTCCTCCTCAGCCTTCTTCTTCAGCGAGGCTTGGCGCCGAGGCGCGCCCTTCAGAGTTACACATCTGCCCGAAAATAATCAACGCCCGAATGGGAGGGTTGCCAACCCACGTGCTTTTCAAACCCAGCGCGTCCCAACGTAGAACGTCTTCAACCTCGCAACGCTATGGGCGATGTCGGAAACCCTGAGCCCAAACTTGTCTTCATCTCTTAGGGGCACATGTGTTACTTCCGCCGCCTTCCGCCGAGCCTCCGCCCGCGGAGGCGGCCTCGTTTTGCTTCCGCCGACCTTCCGCCGCCATTCCGCCGCCTTCCGCCGAGGAAGAGATGACAACTCCTTCGATCCTCGAACGCGAAGCCTTCTTTGGAACGCCTCATATGACCAGCCAGCGAAGCAGTTGTCAATACCCTGTGGGGTGGGTGCGGGTCAAAGAGGCCCCATGGGCTGGGACGCGCGATACATGTTTTTACACGGGCGTGTGTTTTAAAACGGGGGCGTGGCCAGGCGGCACAACATATTTTCGGGGTGTTCGTCTTTCTGGCTGCTTGAAAGCACACGAGCACCCCCCCCTACCCTTGCGCGATACATCTTCTAAAATTCTGCTGTCTTCGACGACCCCCCGTTTTGGGTACAAAACTGGGAAAAACGCGTCCCATCAAGGGCAACAATACAACAAACGCAAGGGAATTCCAGCCCGTTTTTAACATCACCTGTTTCCGACACTCTTGGCCTCCTGTTGGTCCAGGGCCCAGGTACGGTGGCGGGATGAGCCGACGGCCGATAGATGTGTGGCTCCTGACTTCTCACTCTTACCCGCCGAGTACGTCAACACATGAAGTAGGACGGTGGACAAAGTACATTGGGTTCAGGCCCTCCCCGATAATAACACAACGCAGCAAACACATATCGGTTCTTGAAGTGGGAAGGCGCTTGAAATAGATTGAGATCTGGGATTCCAACAATACCTACTTTCAACGATTGGCGTGTACTTCCGCCGACCACCCGCCGGAAACGAGACCGCCGCCATTTTTCTTCCGCTGGCTTCCGCCGAAGGCGAGGCGCGCCTCAGACAATCATCCCCTGCAGCCGGTCTATGTGAGGGGCAGCGATGGAGGGACTGGCTCGGGGGGCAAGCGTCGACCTAGAATCGGCGATACATCGCCGATAGCTCGGCGATGCAGCAGGAGCTCGACCACAAGAAACCTTCCACAAGAAACACAATCCTGAGACCTAGGACGTCCATGGATCTTCAGTGTCGGAACGTCACGCTTTCCATCGCAAAACCATCGAAACGCAAGAAACCCAGGGCACGCTGGAGGCAAGCTGGGTGCTCCTTGGCATGGGTTTCCACTGTAGGGGGACTGGCTTGCGGCCGCCCGGCGTCTTGCGGCCGTCCGGCGTGCCGTCGCAGTGCCCGCGAGGACGTCGCAGGCCAACAGGCAGAGGTCGTCGGCCCGCGACGCGCACGCCTCACGGCCCGCGGGCAACGACGACGACGTCTTCGTTTCGGCGGTGCTTGGGCGTCTCTGGGGGGTTCTCGCTGCCACGGCTGGGCGCGTCTCGGACACCATGCCTGGGAAGGGTCCCAGGGCCGATTACCAGCGGACCTTGGTCGGACGACGACGATGACGACGGCTACGACGGCGGCAACGATGTTCGAGACGATCCTCGATGATTGGAGGTCAAACTTATCGGGCATTCTTTTGTCTTGTAAGCCTCCAGGGACCTCCTGAGGCCTCGGCACCCTCTGGGGACTGGAGATCTCCGGAGCCCTCCGACGACGACCCAGACCTCAAGGCATAGCCACAAGAGTCAGAACGGCCACATTTTGCCAACCTTGTCGGCTGCACGACCCTCGGCAAGAGTGACCTTTGGTGCGTGGCTCGTCGATCTGTGCATCTGATGCGACAGTTACGGGCTGCGTAGCCGCACCTCCCGAAAACCGCGCACCAAATGTCACCCCAGCGAAGGGGCACTCTTACGTGTAGCCGACCTTGGGCATCCAGATGCCTGGGTGCGGGGCTCCAGGTGTCTGCATCAATCATCCAGTGGTGGCCAAGGGCGGGACTGACTGACACCCCTGTGCCCGCTTCAGGGCCGAACGCATTGCTACTCAGGAAAACGGCGGGGCCGCCCTCGCTTGAGGCAGGCCTTCACGGAACTCTTTTGCGATGCGCGTACGTACTCCGTGGAGAACCAATGCTGCGCCAAGGCGTCGGGCAAACGTACGTTCCGGACCGCTTCCCACTCCACCTTACGCAAACTGTGCATGACGGCGGCGTGACGCGACTCATGACACCCGGCAGGACGCTCGTCTGCTCGCCTGGCTCACATCCGCGCCCAGCTCGCGGTCGACTGCAACGTTGACCTGCTGGGGCCCGCAGCCCGCCGGATCGATGCGACGCTGCCCGCGGGCGGGTTCCTCAGCGGTGCCTCGGCCACGGGGACTGTAGCCGCCGCGCGGGGGTCCCGTCCGCGGCGCGTGCGTGGCAAGTGCGCCCGCGACGCGTACCAGGACGCGTGAAGCGATGCTCCCCCCGTCGGTTCTTTCGTCGCCAGTGATGGCCCGCGCGCGCCATTGAGGCCCCCTCGCAGGGCATGACCGTCGCGTCATGGGGGGACATCTTCGAGGGATGCGCATTGACAGCTGGGCCCTTGTACCTTGGACAAGCCGGCAGTTTCGAATTTGCGGGTGCCTGAACTAAGACACGCTCCGGGCGTCCGTTTACGCCGCAGTCTAGCTTTTCCCCTGCTCGTGTTCGCTCCCATGTGACGTCCACGCCCCAATCTTCTTACTCATTCCCCTCCTCCTTCTCGTCCGCTCTGCGCAACGTACTCACAACTTCATGAAATTTGGCCCTTCGCCAATATACATTCCCCAGACAGCGCTTGCACTTCGGAATTCTTACCTTCGTTCTCAAGAATTGGGCCTGCGAGTCGGTCTGGCGGCTTTGTTCTCGCCGTCGCCGCTCCATCGCCGCCCGTCGTCTGGGCCCGCGCGTCGGTCTGGTGGCTTCGTTGTCGCCGTCGCCGCGCCGTAGCCGTCCGTCGTCTGGGCCCGCGCGTCGGTCTGGCGGCTATGTTCTCGCCATCGCCGCCCCGTCGCCGCCTCGTCGCCGCCCGTCATTTGGGCCCGCGTGTCGGTCTGGCAGCTCTGTTCTCGCCGGCGCCGCCCCGTCTCCGCTTCGCATGGACTGCGCCGCATAAATTGAACCGCGTGGCTTCTTCTTCTTCTTCATCATATTCTTCTTGTTATCGTTCTTTCCAAACGTCGGATATACCTCCCCCCCGATTTAATGGGTAACTCTCCTGTGGTGCAATTTACATAGGATTGTGCAGTATCGTCCATCCGGACGAGGTGCACACGCGCGTGCCGTCGCGCGCGTGCCGAAATCATTCAACAATTTTAAGTTTCGCTGAGGTGTCAAGATCGGTTGCCCCGAAAACATATATAAACAGCAAGTCTGGTTCCGGAGCCATATATGCACATGTATATATGTATATACACATCCTGAATGAACATAAATGATAAAACCAACATGCGCGAGCGCTCTTGCGAGTTGTATAGAACTTGAACTTTTTGAAACAAAGCATTTGTTATTTGGGTTGGGACAGTCATGTTTTATTCCATGCTGCCAGGCGTGCTTCTCTCGCGCGCGCATGTCGAAATCGTTCGAACGCCGTTGCGCGCGTGCTGTCGCAAGAACCTCATGCAAAACCGCTGGGCGAAGTGCACGCGCGCGCGCGCGCTTTCGCGCGCGCATGCCGGAATCCTCCAAACACCTTTTGCCATCGTGCGGATTTCACTACCGACGGTCTCGAAAACATACGGAAGCACACATGGTATTGCAACCTCAGATTCGAACAGACATGCGCGCACTCTTGAATTCTTAAGACGACCGAAAGTTTTCATATTTTAAAATTCGAGAGACGGGCCTGTCGCGCCCCATGTCGAGATCATTTGAATGCCCTTGCGCGCGTGCTGTTTTTTTTTGTTTTTGTTTTTTCTTGGGGGCGATCACGACCAAAGAATATCATGCAGGCTTCTCGCGCGCGTCGGCTGCGCGCGCATGTCGAACTCCTGCAAACAACTTCATCTCCGACGCGGGGGCGTCTTCATCGTCATCGGCGGGCGTAGTCAGCATCGGCACCGCCATCGGCCTTGCCATCGTCATCGCCGCCATCGTCACCATCATACCTTATCATCATCGTGTCTACTGTTGCCGGCGTCGCCATGATTCCGCGCCCGCCCAAGTCACCGACTCGCAGTGAAGTGCCCGCTGGGAAGTGCCCAGTTGTCAGCGCCACCACGGCCGCGTTGGTCGCGCCAAGCTAGCTGGCCGCTTTGCGCGCGAGCATGCGTGGGCTAGCCGCGGCCGCAGAGATACACGAACCAATCGCCGACGCACGGGTTTTGCAAACCAAGTTGAGGGTGGGTGGAGTTAGTGCGCAAACAATGGAGATGACAACTGCGGGTTCCACATGTGAATTCAAGATGGTTCCGGAACCGAACCGAACCGGCCGAACCGAACCGGGCCGAACCGAACCGGCGCGAACCGTGTTTTTTGTTTTTTGACAATGGGAACCGAACCGAACCGAACCGGAAAATTACGACACCGAACCGAACCGAACCGGGACTCCAAACCGGGCCGAACCTGTCACCGCCGAACCGGCCCGAACCGGACCGAACCGGAGCGAATCGGAAAACTGGCCACGGAGGGAGGAGGAGGAGGGATGACCGGCGGCGACGACGACGATGACGACAACCCTCAGATCCAGGTGCTGTGACAAAAATCACAACCGGAGGTTTTTCGCTATTTCGGCTTCCGGGACTTAAAAAACCGACCCAGGATGAAAAACCGCTTCTGGGGACGAAAAAAGCGTCGTCCGCGAGCACCTGGCTGGCGGCGCGGGCGTCGCCGCCGCTCCGCTCGCCGTCGTCCGCCGCCGCTCGCCGTCGTCCCCCGCCGTCGCGGCCGCTGCCGCTCGCCGTCGTCCGTCGTCGTCCGTCGTCGGTCGGTCGGTCCCTCGTCCCTCGTCCGTCGTCCCTCGTCGGCGACGTCGACGTCGAGGGCGCGGAGCGGACCGCGGGAGGGCGGGCCCCTTTGGCGCCCTCCCCGCGCGAGGGCAGGGGGCCGCCGCTGGGGTGCCCGGGTTCCCGCGGGAACCGACCCACCAGCAGTCTGCTGCAGCCACCCCGACACCCCCCCCTTTCCTCATAGGGTTTGGGGCCCCTAGGGGCCCCTATGCGGGTTTGGGGCCTCTTTGGGGCCTCTTTGGGGGTTTGGGCCCCCTTTGGGCCCCCTTTTGGGGCCGGATTGGGGCCCCTATGCGGGTTTGGGGCCCCTTTGGGGCTCCTTTGGGGGTTTGGGGCCCCTTTGGGCTTTCTTTTGGGGCCCCTATGCGGGTTTGGGGCCCCTTTGGGGCCCCATTGGGGCCCCTTTGGGGGTTTGGGGCCCCTTTGGGGCGCCTTTTGGGGCCCCTATGCGGGTGTGGGGCCCCTATGCGGGTTTGGGGCGTCTTTGGGGCTCCTTTTGCGGCCCCTTTGGGACCTCTTTAGGGCCCCTTTGGGGGTTAAGGGTCCCTTTGGGGCCCCGAGCGGCGAAGGCCAGCGGCAGCCAGCGGCAGCCAGCGGCAGCCAGCGGCAGCCAGCGGCGGCCAGCGGCCACGGACCCCCCAAAAAGGACGAGCTTTGGGGCCCCTTTGGGGCCCCCCGAGCGGTGGAGGCCAGCGGCGGCCAGCAGCAGCGGCAGCCAGCGGCAGCCGTTGTCGGGCCCCGGGGCCACGGAGAGGTCCACGGACCCTAAAGAAAAACGAGATTTGGGGTTTGGGGCTTCTTAGGGGCCCCCGAGCGGCGGAGGCCAGCGGCAGCCAGCGGCCTCCCCCCGGTCGACGACGACCGACGACGAGGAGGACGACGACGTCGACGACGACGACGACCACGACGACGACGCCGGCAGCAAGGCACCTCGCCGGGCGCGCTGGGGCGCGCCAGCTGCGTCGCCCCGGCTCCTCCTCCTCCTCCTCGTCCTCCTCCTCCTCCTCCTCTTCCTCCTCCTCCTCCTCCTCCGAACCATCGGCATTGAAAAGACCGCAACGAAATCGGATCGCCTGGGGTTGGAACCGCTCCTCGACGGCGATCTGGCCAGAACCGGACCGAACTGGAAACGGAACTGGTCCGAACCGGAAACAAAAAATAAACGTACCGAACCGAACCGAACCGAACCAGAAGATTACGACACCGAACCGAACCGAACCGGAGGCGCTTCGGAACCTAACCGAACCGAGCCGGAACTTTCCTGGCTGGAATTTCACTGCGAATATCACACCACACAGATTCTCCGACCTAAAGGAATATTGAACTCTCACCCCCTGGATTTGACCGCCCCCTCTCTCGTATTGCAATTTACAAGTGATTCTGCCCCATCGTCCACCTTAGATCTGAATTCGTACCATCCCAGCCAAGCTGGTATCGACACCCCCCCATCACCTGCAACATATATCATGCGCGCGGAGTCGTTTATCACAAATCATCAGTTTCCCAAAGCCCTTTGTAACAGAAACGGGAGCGTGCGCCGCAATCGTTCAAAACTTTTCGGTTTCGTGTGGATTTCAAAATCGAGTGCCCTGGGTGCGTGGCCGAAGTGCGGACCCGTGGTGAAAATTCTGCTCGTTGCGTTGTTGCTGTTGCTATTGCTATTGTTGTTGTTGTTGTTGTTGTTGTTGTTGTTGTTATTGTTATTGTTGTTGCTGTTGTTATTGTTGTTGTTGTTGCTGTTGTTGTTGTTGTTGTTATTGTTGTTGTTTGTTGTCGTCGTCCCCCCCGCGACCAGGCCCGCGACCCACCCGCGACCCACCCCGCGACCCACCCGCGACCCACCCCGCGACCCGCTCGCGACCCACCCGCGACCCACCCGCGACCTGGCCCGCGACCCACCCGCGACACACCGTCGACCCACCCGCGACCCAACCAGCGACCCACCTACATTGTTTTAACAAACCTGCGGCGGGTTCGTTGTATAGCTTAAAAATTTTGAGCCTGCGGCGGGCTTTTCCAGAGCCTCGCAGACTGCAGACGTCCCCACCGCCCCCTCACTCTTATCCGCAACTGCGGGGTGCTACGTATAAAAAGCACATGGCTTCGCAACAAGGATTTTTCAAAAAAAGAACTAGGGCTCGCGCTCTCGCAGATTCTTAAGAGAACCATCGGATTTCCAACATCTTCATAACATGCTGCCAGACGGGCCTCTCGCGCGCGCGCATGCCGAGATCGCTCGAACGCGCTTGCGCGCGTTTTGTCGCAATAATCTCTTGCAGCACAACGGGACGGAGTGCGCGCACACACGCACACACACACTCACACATACACACGCGCACACACACACACCCAAACACACCCACACCCACACCCACACACCCCCAAACACACACAGACACACACACACACACCTTCACACACACACACACACACACGCACACAGAGACACACACACAAAGACACACAAAGGCAAACACAAACACACACACAAACACAAACACAAACACGAACACCCACAAACACAAACACAAACACAATCACAACCAAAACCATCACCACAACCACAAACACAAACGCAGACACACACAACCGCAAAGACAACCATATCCAAAACACACAACCACACACAAACACAAACACAAACACAAGCACACGCACAACCACAACCACAACCACAATCACAAGCACGCACAAGCAAACACACACACACATTCACACATACATGCACCCAGGCACACACATACATACAAACAGACACAGACACAGACACAGACTCACTCACTCACCTAGTCACTCTTTCACGCACAGGCACACACATGTGTATCTATGTATTTGTAGGTGTACATATATATATATATATATGTATGTGTATATATATATACATACATATCTATATGTGTATATATATATACATGCACATACCTATAGTCATGTTTGCGCACATATCTATATGCGCATAGCTATACATATCATATACATGTAAGTGCGTGTGTGTAAGTACATATACACACACATCAGCCACCGTGCCGCGGGGCACTGAGTGGGGGTGCCCTTTGAGGGCCTCAAGAGGCCTGGATCATTTGCTTTCCTTCGGTTTTAGGTTATTGGCTTTCTGGCCATTTTGTCTCCCCGACGTTCCCCGACGGCCCTAGAGGCCCCCAAAATCGCCCCAAGAGGGCCCAAGAAGCCTCCAAGAGGGCCTCAAAACGATCCAAGAGGGCCCCAAGGCGGCCCAAGATGCGCCCCAAACGGCCGAAGAGGCCCCAAAGACGGCTCCAAGAGGGGGCCCGGATCGGGGACCCGCACGGAAATTTTGAGCCCTCGGCTCCAATGGGGCTCTCAGGCGGCCCCGAGAGGCCCCCAAGAGGCCCCAAGAGGCCTCCAGAGGCCCCAAGATGCTCCCAAGAAGAGGCTCTCGAGAGCGCACCGAAGAGGCTCGAAGGAACATACCTGAGAACTATGACCCACAACCCAGGCATGGTGGCGGGATGGGCCGGAACCATTCGATGTTGGTATACATATATATATATATATAATATACATATACATACATATACATACACACATATTCATCTACATTTATGTATGTGTATCTGTATGTGCATGTCTATATATATATGTATTTATATATACATATATGGTTTAGATGCGTATGTTTCGGTTCCGCCACCGTGCCGAGAGGCATTGCGTTGCGTGCACTCAGGTCTCCTCGAGTCTTCTGTATCGAGAGCTGCAAATCACCTCTACAACGCCCAACGCCCAACATTCCAGGCTCGTCGCGTGACTCCTGGGGGTGCTCGCATGCTTCTTGGGGCAGGTCGCGTGACCTTTCCAAGGAGACCACACGTGCGGAACTCAACATGGCTTAGGTTGGCCTCACGGACCGTCTGGGAGCCCCCAGAGGCGCCTCTCAAGGAAGCCTCCAGGAGTCCTCCAAGAGGCTCTGGAGAGGCCCCCCGGAGAGCCCCAAGACGCCTCTAAGTCCTCCTCCTCCTCTTCCTGCTCCTCCTCCTCCTCCTCCTGCTCCTCTTCCTCCTCCTCCTCCTCCTCCTCCTCCTCTTCCTCCTCCGACAGCCGACCTGAAGCGAGTCGAAAGCGCGCGTGTGCTTGACGCTGGCGACGTTGGCCGCGTCCCTCATCTTCTCGCGGTTGCCTCCGCCGAAGGACTCGCCATCGCTCGGACGTCCATTCCCCGTGCATGTTTCGATGTCGTGCGCTCATCTTTCGCAATCTGATCCAGTATGCTCCTCGATGGCCCTCACCGAAGAACAAAACTCACACGCTCGAGCGATGCAGAAAGGAAGGAGAAACGGGAGAACGGGAAACAAGTCTGGGACGCTGGCAGCCTCCAGAGGCTCCCAGAGGTCCCTGGAAATCTCGGGGGGGGGGCTCCGGAAGCCCAGATCCCAGATAAACCCAGACGTCCAAAACATCAGCTCTCGAAGCTGGATGAAAAGGGAGGGGGGGGAGGGCGGGAGGATGGGGGTTGATCCAGACATCTGGTGTTTTGGTGCTTCTCGAGGCATGGCCCCCTGGGCCCGGACATCTCAAAGCCTTCCCCCCAGGGCTGGCCTTTGCCCCGAGTCGTGTCCTGAAGGCCTCAGGGCCCGAAGCCCGGTCTCCCGTGGCCGAGAAGGTGCAGAGCCATAGCCCTTCCGCTCCTCTCGAGCCGCAGGATGCCTGGGCCTCCCTCTCCCCGCCCTTCGGGCCCCATATGCAGACATTGCCCCCGAGACAAGCTTGCCCAAAGGCTCGTTCTGGCCACAACTCCGAAGAGGATCCGGGGGGGCCGCGGGAGCGCCCAAGGAGGCACACAGAGCAAGCCAGGGGTATCGTACACAACAGACCACGAGATTTGGGGCGAAGGCCGAGACTATCGACGCTCTGTTTTTCTTCAAACCGGAGCCTGCCTACTTTTACAGGGGCAGCTCCTCCTCCTCCTCGTCCTCCTCCCTCCTCCTCCTCCTCCTCCTCCTCCTCCTCCTCCTCCTCCTCCTCCTCATCCCTCCTCCTCCTCCTCCTCCTCCTCCTCCTCCTCCTCCTCCTCCTCCCTCCTCCTCCTCCTCCTCCCCCTCTTCCCCCACCCTCCTCCTTCTCCTTCTCCTCCTCCTCCTCCTCCTCCTCCTCCTCCTCCTCCTCCTCTTTCTTCTCCCCTTCCCCCCCCTCTGGCTCAATTTTTGACACTCCCAGAACCACCTCAAAACCCTGGGGCCGGGATTGGGGAAACACGCCGGGTCTGAACAAACAGAACCCTCCAGAGGTCTGGGTTGAAGTCTCAGGGGGGAGGAGGGCAAGCAACGATAGGGGGGGACTGGCACAAGGGGGAGAAACATCGACCTGGAGTCGGCGACACATCGCCGATAGATCGGCGATATGCCCCCCATGGCGGAACGGCACGCTCCTGGGCGGGGTGGGCAATCGGGCTCCTGTCGGCGATCAACGAGCGATTGGGAGTCGATCCCCCCCCCCCCCCGAGCCGCTCCCCCTCTCACGTTGCCCCTGACTTTGGGCCCTCCCTGAGTTCTGAGGCTCCCACGCTGGGCTTCGGGGCTCCTGCCCCAGGGGCAGCCCAGAGCCGCCGCACGAGGAGCGGCACGACGCCGACGATGCACCCGGACCGACCCTGGCCGGCCGGGGCCCGTCCTCCCCGCCCCCCCCTAGGCGACGCCTCCCCCGAGCCTGGCTCGCGAGCGGGCTGGCGGGCTGCGCCCCGGGGGAGGGCCGCCGCCGAGGCCGGCGGGCCCGTGGAGCGCGGGGCTCCGGGCGTCCTCCTCCTCCGCCTCCTCCTCCTGCTCCTCCCGCCTCCTCGTCCTCCTCCTCCTCCTCCCTCCTCCTCCTCCTCCTCCTCCTCCTCCTCCTCCTCCTCCTCCTCCTCCTCGAGGGGGCGGAAGCGGTGCCCGGGAGGCGCTGGTCGTGGTCGGTGAGCGCCTGCTCTGACTGAGGGCTCGCGACGAGGCGAAGCGGCCACCTCCTGGCCGGGGAGGCGGGTTGGCGGGGGGAGGCCCCGCCGGGTCAGGAGCGGAGGCACCCGAAAGGCATGTGGGCTGCGGAAGCAGTGGGGAGCCATGCGCCACACTGGAGGACTTCTGGGCCGAGGGGGGAGGCAAAATGGAGTCGAGGAGGAATCGGATGAGGAGTCAAGGACCCCCAAGACCGTCTGGTGACATACGGCCCAGCGGCGTGCAAATCCCAAAGACTTCGGGCCGCCTGTCACTGGATCGCCATTTGGGACCCAGAGGGTCCCGGGCGCCAGAAGCATCCGGGGAAAACGGCCCAGGTCCCAAGAACGCCCCCTCCGCTGGCACCCTTTGGCACGAACGCAGGTGGGTCCTGAGGCAAACGGGCCCTGGACCCCAAGGCCTTCCCCCTGGACCAGCTCGTCCCGAATCGATTTGATAAAAGAAGAAAAGACGCCGTAAACATAAACCAATGGCGCTCCGCGCGGAGCGTCAACAGTTTATGTTTATGGCGCTCTTGCTTCTTCGGCCACAGGCTTCCCCCCAAGACCAGCCCGTCCCGCATCGATTTTGGAGACAGCCCCAAGGCCCGTGGTGAGAGCCCGAAAGAGCGGCCAGAAGCCATGAGGCCCGCTCTCCCCTCGGGGCCCGTTGGCTTGGCCCGGCGACGCCGCGCTGTGCTGGGCGCCTGGCCGTGTGGTTGCCGGACCGCTCCGGAGCATCGCCCTGGTCAGAGCTGGCAGCGGTCCATCGATCCGTCGCGGCCGCCATCCTCCTCCTCCTCCTCCTCCTCCTCCTCCTCCTCCTCCCCACCTCCTCCTCCTCCTCCTCCTCCTCCTCCTCTCTTCCTCCTCCTCCTCCGCCTCCTCCTCCTCCTCGTTTCCTGCGTTGCCCAGACCTTATGCGTCCGCATGTGGCGTTCTTCTTCCTCCTCCTCCTCCTCTCCCTCCTCCTCCTCCTCCTCCTCTCCTCTTCTTCTTCCTCCTCCTCCTCCTCCTCCACCTCTGCCCCCTGGCACTTTATCTCCGTCCTTCCTGCGCGCTGCGGGACTCTGGGCGACGGTCGGATTCCCTGAGAAACACGTCCGGCAGTGTGCCGTGTCTGTCCGAAGCAGTCTATGAATTGTGACCAAGCCTGATACCACTCGTGGCCGTGCGTGAAAAGCCGTCCCAGCAGAGGGGCATGAGACAGCAACGCTGAACATACCGATCGTACTAGGGAGGCGCGCGGGCTTATGCATGAGCGCATACAGGAGTAAGACCGCCTGCAGAAGCATGGCGACTTATGATATACATGGATGAGGCTATGGCTATGGCTACAGCCATTGTCAAATACGTCGGCAGGGACTTTGTCCTGGCAGTCATCTTCGTGACAACGATGCTGATCATGTATACCGCAGCCTATTTCAGCCACTTGCGGCGCAACAAAAACAGACCATAACGTTCAAGCTTCGAATTCCATACTAATCTCGTCGTTCAGCTTGGCCAATGCCCCTATCCGAAGACAAGCTCCTCCTTCGTACGCTGTCCCTTTTAGCATGATGAGGGAGATAATGAAAGGAATAAGGAGTTGCGGGAGGGGGACCCTTCGACCGAAGGGATTTAAGATGGCGGCGCTGCTAGCAGACAGAGGTATGGGGTAAGGCGGATCGAGTCGAAGAGAAAGCTCGTACAAGCGAGTCCACTAGGCGAGCAGAGCGACGAATCGCCCTTGCAACGAAGGAAGCATCGAGGACTGCACCAGGTGTGCGCTGATTGAGAACCACGGTGCGCAACTGAGTCCAAACACGGCGTGAGAAGCATGTCTGGGGGCAGTGCGAGGCTCGAAGGGCAGAGACGGACCCCCCGATTTCTAAGGCCCCGGGCACAATTTACTCACCGGGACGGTACCCCAGCGACGAATTGAGGCGATCTGTCTGTAGCTCGCCGCATGCACTGTACAAGCGCTCGAGCGCAATAGCCTAGCCGGCAAGTGTCATGGGAGAATCGGTCGTCGAAATCCGCCTGACGTTTATAACATGATGTGGCCAATGGCCGCCGTCACAGAACCGTCCTGGAACATCGCGGGCCCAAGAGGTATGAAAGAGAAGGAGAAGGAGAAGGAGAAGGATGATGATGATGATGATGATGATGATGATGATGATGATGATGATGATGATGATGATGATGATGATGATGATGATGATGAGGAGGATGATGATGACGACGACGACGATGCTGATGATGATGAGGAGGAGGAGGAGGAGGAGGACGGAGCAGGAGGAGGAGGAGGAGGAGGAGGAGAAGGAAGAGGAGGAGGAGGAGGAGGAGGAGGAGGAGGAGGAGGAGGAGGAGGAGGAGGAGGAGGAGTGAGACGAGGGATTTCACAGCGTCGTGTGCGTACCCCTGATGGCCCAACCAGCCAACTGTATAATCAAGGCTCACACGACGGCCAGCGAAAGACACAATGAATCACAACACTTCGTACGTCTACGGGCGGGAGCTTTTGCGCAGCGTGTCGCGGCGGCAGCCCCGTCCACACGCTATGCCCAGCGAGCGGATAGCGTGCCGCTCCGCTTTGCGGGACGGGAGGGCGGGAAAAACCCGGGATGCTGACGCTCGAGGGCTGGGACCTGGTCATCATGGTGGTGGGCCACATCCCACGTCGCGACACGCTGAGCCCAAACTCCTGACCGCAAGCCGGAACAGGTCGGCGCTAGCCTGTAGAATCGTGGAGACGTAAGACTCGGGTTCGGGGGACTCGAGTCGGCCTGATGGGGGCCACCATGAACATGACGAGACCCAACCTGAAATTGGACGCGGGCTCGAGCTGCAAACATCACACGAACACCGGACCGTCAAACTCCAGGACGCGCTCGTGAACAAAAAAGCGTCGGCAAAACCCTAGCTCCGGCGCGCTCGAGTCTTGCTAGGGGAACGAAGAATGACATCAACATAAAAACGCGGAGGTCCGCGCTGATTTCTCGGATCGGCGCTGGACCCCCTCCCTGGCGCGCGGTGCTCGCCAAGGGCGGCGCCGGAGGCGCCTCCAGGGGGGTTCAGCGCGGATCCGAGAAATCCGCGCGGACCTCGGAATTTTTCTGTGTATGCCTGTTTTGCTCCCCTAGCAAAATCGTCGGCAAAGTCTACAGTCCTCGGCCTGACCTGAGGAAAAATGAATAAGGAACGAAGGTTTTTTTTCCAAGGAAAACGCATAA